AGGAAAAAAATCTTTTCCTTCTACCCTGGTTGAGGGCCCCTTCCTTTCCTGGCTGGGGCCCCTGTTATGAAAGATAGGAACAAGAGAAGAAATGAGCAGAAGTCCATTAAGGAATGAGTATATCTCTGATACACATGGGAGAACCTCAAGGATGAGTAAACTCCAGGACTTGGCTAGAACTTGCACTTACCTACCATCTTCAGCTAAAACACTCTTTGAAGAATGGTATGGGGAAGGTGAATTAGGGAAAAATGACCAGGAGAACTATTGTAAACAAGAGTGAGTTTTGTTATGCAGCTTTAAAATTTGTTTTGCAGATATACGTGACTTCTCTAAAAAGTGTCTCTCAGGATTTAGAATATCTTTCTCTTCCTGGGACAGAGAAGGAGACACTCTTACAAATGGTAATTTCCTTTATAAATGTAAATTTCCCTTACAAAAGCAAACTTCTACTCTGTGCTCAGAGCATCTTTTGTGTCTGCTGCTTCTCAAAATAATCCTTATGCAAAAAAAAGCATATTTAAGGTAGCATACTCTGGTCTCCTACAGTCATATTTTGGAGTGGCATATTCTGGCCCCCTGTGGCTTCCTTTCCATGGTCAGCTGATAGAACAGCAGGAGCACTTTGTGAACTGCACTGTGATGACCATTGCCCCCAGGCCATCTACATCAGTATGTATGGACCCTTAACTGTGCAAGGGCCCTCCCCTTTAGAGGTATGTGCCAGATCAGCCATGAGATAATTCAGTGCCATTCTCAAATATAACTGACATTCCTAATCATTTCTGAAATGATGATTTTTTTGGGGTTTTTTTTGTTTTTGCATGTTAAACAGACATTGTTTCTTGGCACTCTCTCCTAAGTGCTCCAAAGTCAGTATTGGAAAATGTTGACTACAGAACCATAGAAACCTCACTGGGAAGTCAGAACACCTGGAGAAAATGCTCAGAGCATTTGTCCGAGAGTCCAAGAGTTGGTGAAAGAAACTTCACGCCCTGATGGGTTTCTCTGCAGTCAAGGAGCCTGCTTTCAAAGCCAGCTTTGTAAGGAGGCCATAGCTCTGGGACTGCGCCTGCCAGGCCAACTTCCAGGCCCAGAACTGAGGGAGTTCCAAGTCTGACCCCAGCTGGGAAAGAAGAATGTGCTAGGGGAAAATCTGGGAAGAAGAAAGAGGCAACTCAATAAACTGCCTGCCACATAAAACACAGATAGTTTTAGAGATAGGGAGGAAGTGTAGTTTTTCAGATCCAGAAATAGTGATTTCAAGTGTGATCATCATAAGGGATCTGTTTCAAAGTTGGAGGACTGATCCTCCACTCCCAAGAATTCTGCAAGGAGCGTATGTGCACAGATGTCACACACATCTGTTCTGAACTAAATTGACATGTTCAATGGGGGAACAAAATTTTAGGGCCTCAAAAATAGCACCAGGATAAAGGAGGTATTCAAAAGGGTATTTTTAAATGCCTGGGGTTGGAATTCTGAACTGAGGCCTAAAAGAAGGTCTGGTGCTCGCTAAATAGCTCAGTTCTGTGTTAACTGTGAATCTTAATGGAATTCAAGTGGATGATCAATAGATACAATTTATTGTCACTTTAACCTTAGATTCAAAATGATAACCATTGTTCTAATCATACATGATGCAACTGATAAAAAGAACTTCATTTAATGATGGATTTGTAGAGACTGATGTTAAAAAACAATTAAAGAATGCAATTTAGGTGAAAAAAGAAACTTCATTTAATACTTCATGAACTGCAAAATGGGATGGAAGGCAGGAAATTTTTATGGGATAAAGGGTAAAGAACAAGGAAGAGAGAAACAGGGAATATCTGATTGTCTGGGGCCACATAGTCAACTTTGTTGAGGGTGAGACGGAGCAAAGAAATAAGCATAAGGCCCAAAGTTGGGGTTTGGGTGACTGACTATACAATTTTGGTCAAGTGAAGCATTTACAGGGACACAAAAACTATCTAAGTTTTGGTTTGCTGACATGGCACCCTGGACAGGAACGTCTCCGTCTTGGGTCTGAAACTTATTTTAATACTGGGCATGTGCCCTCCACAATACAGAATTGGACAATATTTTTCAATTAATGACAAAATTTACCAACGCTGACCTAGACTTATTATACTTGCAACATTTTTTTTTCCAACAGAATATGAATATGCAAATTCTGATGAGCACAAATTGGCTTTTTCTATATTCTGAATAAGTGCCAGCCACCATGTCCATGACAAAATGTCCAAGAGCTGATTCTCTTTTAGGATCAAATGTGTTTTCTGATGGATATGATGATGTGAACCCACGGAGTAGAAAACTCTGTTGAAGGTCCAAGGGCTTTACAAGCTCCTTCAAAGGCAACACAAGCTCTCTCACCAAACTAATAGTAGTAACAAACCAACAGCTATTCAAGGGTATTATTATTATTGTATTATATTATTAAAATCTTACTCTCACCTTGCTTTCCTTTAATTATTTTGATGCCCTTCTTTTACTTCATGAATGAAGGTTTCCGCCAGATTTTTCCATAAGTCATCCCCTAAGCTTTCAAACTTTCAAAACATTTTCAAACTTCTGAGCAGTGTTTTGCTCTCATGGCTTCTCAGTAAAGATTAATGAGATTTCAAAGATGTATATCACTCATTCTATTCATTTGAAACCACATTACCTTTTCATTTATAAGTATTTTGGCCTTTACTATTTTGCTCACAGTAAAGGTACCACTATTTAATAATACACATTTGAAACTATTAATATATATTGGTGTATTTTAAATCCCAGAAAGATGATAGACACACTTAAGAGGAATTACTAAAGCAATAACTTGATATCAGTTTATACCAATATCCATACAGGTTTTGAGTCATATTCTTACGGTTTATAGATTCAACTGAGTTCTAGTGGATTATGACCGATGAGTTTGAGGACATTCCAGGCAGAGGGGAAAACTTGAGCAAGGATTTAGAAGCAGGAATGTGCAAAGTATATTTAAGGAAGAGAATGTTTTCCAGGTTGGCTAAATCCTGCAGTAGCTATAGGGCAATTACAGCATGAGATAAGGCTGAAAGGAGATGTTCAGAGCATAATTCAAGGGCTGAAAACCAGACAAGATATCTGCACATGATTCTAAAGGCAATGAGGACATGGTGAATATTTTCAGGCACGGACCTTGCATGATTCCAGCCAGACTTAGAGTAGCAGAGTAGTGGCATGTAGAAGAAAATAGGGGAGTTCAGGGAGGGGAGGGGACCGGAGCCAAGACTGGAGTTCAGGGGGCCCACTTAGAGCCATTTCTGCTTGGTTGGCCCCAGGCTTCTCCAACCTAAGATCGCCAAGTCAGAGCTCCTCACTTTTTCCTACCAAATATACTCCCCCCTTAATCTTCCCCATCTCAATAAATGGCACCACCATCCATGCAGTTTGCAGTCAGAAACTTCTCCTACCCCCACATGTGACCCATCAGGAAGTCCTGACAGCACTACTCTAAAAGAACATCCCTTGTCCGACCATTTCTCTCCATTTTCCCTGCCAACAGCAAGTCGAGGGCACCGTAACCTTTACCGGGACAACTGCAAGAACATCCCGGGTGCTGTTCTTCTGAGAAGTTCACATTCTCAAGATGGCTCCCAGGGATCTGTTCAAAGTGTCTATTAGATCATACCACTCTTCGGTTTACAACCCTCCAATGGTTGCCTATTGTATTTAGAACAAAATCCAAACTTCTAATCTTAGCCTACAAGGTCCCACATATTCTGTCCTCTGCTTAACCCTCATATTTAATCTCTCTCCTCCTCTTATTCATGACGCACTTAGTCTTTTGGTCACCGGAACATACAAGGCTCATTTCCACCTCAGGATCCCTGTCGTTTCTGGGTACCAGTAGTATAACTGACATCAAAAAGTCAGTGGAGTAACAGCTAGGTCCCATTCTTTCAATGTAAAATTTTATAGGACAGGGATGATAGCTCATTCATTAAATCTATACATAGCTTTCTAACAGCCACATGTAAAGATTTTTGGTCTGTGGTTGCAGAAGCTATTGCAGACATTGACTGTAATAAACACAGTTATCTTGTGGAGAGCCCCCAAATAGGAGACTCTCCTAGCTCATGTCCTCCCCTTGACTCTTTGGGGGAACATCTGGCAGACACAAACCAGAATAGGAAAGGTGGTAGTGGGAAAGGGAGGGGGGAGTGAGATTTTTTTCTTGAACTTCTGCCTCAAGGCTGCGTGGACCCCTCCCACCCCCACCGCACCACTGTTCCCTTTGCCATGCAATGTCCCTGGTACCTTGGTTCATTTAAATGTACAAAGCTTCTATTACTTGTTATTTTAAAATAATACATGCTCTCAAACATTTAAAATCTCCTCTTTTTCCTGTCAGATCTTCTTCAAATCACATCCCCAACTAAACTCATATTATATATTTTTTATTATATATATATTCAAAACATTTTATGTGCATATATGCACCAGCCACTAATAAAAGATTATTCCAAAACTGTGTGGCCTAAAACGCTCTTCTTTTTTTAAGCTCAGGGAGTCTATAGTTTAGGACTCCACATCCCACAGCAGCATGATGTCAGCTTCTCCTGCTTCCCAGTGTCTTGGGCTCAGCTGGTTGGTCAGGAAGACTTTCTGACTTGATGCCAGTGACCGAAACCATCTAAAGTTTCACACACTCACATTCTGGGGCCTGATAGGACTTGAAAATTAGGCCTGCTGACTGAACTGATCCATCTGCTGGAAAAAACCTAAGCTAAGACAATAGGAACAGAGGTGGGGCTGTACCCCAGGCACAAGGAACAGCATCCACGCACCAAGTTCCCCTGGTCTAAGCGAGCACAGTATATTAAAGGTAGTGAGAGAAAGCCAGTGAGGCTAGACACACACACACACACACACACACACACACACACAGAAAGAAAGAGAGGAGTTCTAGGTGAGCAGCTGGATCCCATATACCCTTACAGCCCAGTTTTAAATTTGTGTTTTACCTTAAGAGCAGTGAGGAGCCAGTGAAAGTCTCAAGCAAGTGGGTGAGGCACTGGGGTCAGGGCTTCAGTGTATCTTCTTTGGAGAGACACAATTCTACCAGTTACAGGTGCTGACAGCATCCCACTGCTGCTAGTACTTTGGTGTTCCACCATCTCTTGTAGGTATCTGGAACTTTCCCACCCTCTATAAATGATCCCTTCTCTAAGGTCTCTTAGGTCAAACCCTTCAAGGGTTTGCTCTGAGGGTTGTAGACTCTCCTAGCTCATGTCCTCCCCTTGACTCTTTGGGGGAACATCTGGCAGACACAAACCAGAATAGGAAAGGTGGTAGTGGGAAAGGGAGGGAGGAGTGAGATTTTTTTCTTGAACTTCTGCCTCAAGGCTGCGTGGACCCCTCCCACCCCCACCGCACCACTGTTTCCTTTGCCATGCAATGTCCCTGGTACCTTGGTTCATTTAAATGTACAAAGCTTCTATTACTTGTTATTTTAAAATAATACATGCTCTCAAACATTTAAAATCTCCTCTTTTTCCTGTCAGATCTTCTTCAAATCACATCCCCAACTAAACTCATATTATATATTTTTTATTATATATATATTCAAAACATTTTATGTGCATATATGCACCAGCCACTAATAAAAGATTATTCCAAAACTGTGTGGCCTAAAACGCTCTTCTTTTTTTAAGCTCAGGGAGTCTATAGTTTAGGACTCCACATCCCACAGCAGCATGATGTCAGCTTCTCCTGCTTCCCAGTGTCTTGGGCTCAGCTGGTTGGTCAGGAAGACTTTCTGACTTGATGCCAGTGACCGAAACCATCTAAAGTTTCACACACTCACATTCTGGGGCCTGATAGGACTTGAAAATTAGGCCTGCTGACTGAACTGATCCATCTGCTGGAAAAAACCTAAGCTAAGACAATAGGAACAGAGGTGGGGCTGTACCCCAGGCACAAGGAACAGCATCCACGCACCAAGTTCCCCTGGTCTAAGCGAGCACAGTATATTAAAGGTAGTGAGAGAAAGCCAGTGAGGCTAGACACACACACACACACACACACACACACACACACAGAAAGAAAGAGAGGAGTTCTAGGTGAGCAGCTGGATCCCATATACCCTTACAGCCCAGTTTTAAATTTGTGTTTTACCTTAAGAGCAGTGAGGAGCCAGTGAAAGTCTCAAGCAAGTGGGTGAGGCACTGGGGTCAGGGCTTCAGTGTATCTTCTTTGGAGAGACACAATTCTACCAGTTACAGGTGCTGACAGCATCCCACTGCTGCTAGTACTTTGGTGTTCCACCATCTCTTGTAGGTATCTGGAACTTTCCCACCCTCTATAAATGATCCCTTCTCTAAGGTCTCTTAGGTCAAACCCTTCAAGGGTTTGCTCTGAGGGTTGCTCTGGGACCTGGACTCATACATCCATTTTAAGACCTATTTAATAAGTAAAATGGACAGGATGTGGGGATGGGTTGCATGAGCGGGAAATGGTAATGAGGGAAAGGGAAGTGTCAGATAACTGCCAAGTTTCTGTCTTGTGTAATCCATGGACATTGTGCCTTTCACTGAGATCAGGCATGCATAGAAGGACCACTGCAAAGGAGACAGTGATTTGTCTTAAGACATACAAAGAATATATAAGCCAAAAAAACAAACCAACCAACCCTGAATTTCTATGCATTATAGAGTTTATATGCTCTGGACTTATAAAGTTAGCATGGATTTAAATCCTGGCTCTTCCACTTACTAGTTGAGACACTTAGGACCAAAGGCTTCATCTTTTTATTCCTCATTCTGCCCATTTTTATTTGTTAAATAGATATAACATCTGTCTCATAATGTTGCTATAAGGATTGATGAGATGAGCCATATAAAACACTTTGCAAAGTGTCTGACATTTACTAAGGGGACAATAAAGGCTGGTATTAGCCAGTATTACTTTTACACACTTAGTTTCCATCTGGAGAAAGTATCACTTTAAGTTTTGAAATTATCCTTCTGAATGTGGTCTAATTCCTATTTTCCACTGAAATTTTAAAACTATTTTAAATGCAGTCCAGGAGGAAATAAAGTTGCTAGCAGGCTTATACTTCTAAAGCTTTCTCCTTTCCAATAGGTTTGGAGTTCAGTAAGCCCATTTCAAACAATCTCTAACTTTGACGCTGGATATCAATTGAAGATGTGGGTAAATTTCAAAGCACTCTAGATATTTTGGGATGTCAAGAGGGCTTTGGAAAATTATGTTGTCTGACCTCTAATTTTTGGATGAGGAAATTAGGAGCTGAGAGGTTAAATGAGTCATCTGAGGCCACACAACTGCAGGCAGAATTGAGACTAAAATCCAGGCCTGTGACTCATAAATGGCCCTTTCATCTCCAACATGGCAACCTCCAGCAAAACAGTCCAGACAAATGTTTATTGCATGGATTTTAAAATTTATATAATGAACCCAACCCTTCTCTAAAGAAAAATACAAGTTAAAATGAGGAATGAGGGACCAAAGTAGGAGTTCAAAACATTATTAGTTTTTAAAAATCCACTGAAACAGTTCTTTTTGAAAAACAGATAATGATTTAACTGGCTTTTTAAACTTTCATAATTGTATGCTCTTAGCAAGGTGTTTAACTACTTTGGCGCATGTAAACAGATTTTTTTTTTCACACTCCTGAACTATGAGTTGCTACTTTTCAGGTTTTATTTTGAAGACTTGGTGATTTTTTTTGCCTGTGACAGTCAGTTAACTTAATACTGTGTTCAAGGTTATATGTCCTGATGAGATTCTATTTTAAAGAATTCTGACTCAATAAACCAATGGAATATTGAGGAGATGGGTAGACCTTTTTATAATCAACCTGGTTTGGGAGACTGAGTTAAAAAAATCTAAACATCACACTTGGGCCAATCATATTAATATTTGTATGTAATTATGTGGAACCACATAAATCAGCTTTCCTACTTAGAAAAGATAGATAGAAAAGCCAGAGATATAGTTTATTTCTCTTTATCATCTTTTCTAGTATAGGAAAGAGGAGGTAATGGAAAAAGAAAACCTTCAAAGCAAAACTGGAGAAAAAATTTAAAAACACACTTGCTGGTGTTGGAAGAGAGGGATATAATTTTTTTATATTGGAAAAAAAAGTATGTTGGAAAAAAAAGTAGTATTTTAGAGAAAAGCCAATCTAACTGAAGTCAATTATGTTGAAAGGATTCTGAAAGACTTGGTATCCATAGTAACTGAGACATCACTACACTTACTCTTTCTAGCCATAATGAGGGGAATAAACAGCCAAACAGCTTGCTATTTCCTGATATCATTACCATAGCTAATAAATGACTATTAAATGAGACATCTTAACAAACTCTACTGATATTTTACTTTTGAAACAGGACACCTCCAAAAAGAATAAGAAAATGTTACCAAAACACAGGAAAGAAAAATCAGCTCACAAGAGAGAATTGCAATAGCACATCCAAGGAGGGAAGAAATTGCTCTCTGAATCTAGCCCCAGGCTAGCTGCTGTCCAAGGCAGAAAAGCACGTTTTAGGCTCTTGCCAAACTGCAGGTCACCTGGTCCTCCATCCATGCAGACTTAGTTGGTTGAAAGGGAGTCCAGATGTAGTCAGGACAACCTCAAACAGCCCAACGCTTTCCTAACCAGAATGTCCAACCAGTGGCAAATGTGTACCTTTTGCATATACAGCTGATTATTGTTACAGGATAATAACTTTTTATTCTTTCATCAAGCATTTGCTGCACATCTATATGAGCCAATCACTGTGTAAAGTTCTGAGGATGTTAGATGTGAATAAGACAAGCCTGACTGACAAGAAGTTCTCATCTTGCATAGAATCAAGACATATCAAATTTTCTTTTGACAGCAGAAAATGATAATTAATATCCACGTATGATGGGCACATTGTTACATAATCCCCTGAGGATCATCACAGTTTCTTGCAAACAAGTGACACAAAATAAATGTTGACTGAATATAACAACTCAAGGAAATGATCAGGATGAAGCTAAGGAACAATATCAAAACAATCTATAGTAGCATGGTTTTTCAAAACACAAAGCCTCAAGTTTGAGTTGATGAAATAAGTGCAATTTAAAAATGGTTATAAATAAAGATAAACATATTAAAAGTTTTCAGAACAATAAGTGCTAAAGCTGGGACTCGAGTCCATGTAGTTTGGCTCCAGAGATTTTTGTGCTTAACTACTACCCTATGCCACGTCTGAGAGCAAAGCAGAGCAGGAAAGGAGGACAGATGTGAAATTCTTACTATAGCCACAGTGATTTAAAAGAAAACCAGTTCAAAAGTACAAACCGCAAAGCTTTAGAAGCTAAACACACTGTTTGAACAACATCTATTCATTCATTCATTTAATTTTTTATGCCTCCCCAAGCGAGGCATTCTTCTGGACACTAGAATTCACCTGTGAGAATACATTCAGCCCTTGCTTTCATGGTTTATTTTCTCCATAAGACTGGCTACCTCCAAAAAGACCCTATGATGTACTTATTTATCAAAGCTTATGATTATTTTCTGTCTCCTCTTAACAGAATGTAAGTTCCATGAGGACATAACATGTTGTGTTTGTTCTCTGAGAAAAATTGTCCCTAAAAGAGTCATTGGAATGTTGCTTCACAGTAACTTTTATTTTTGGTTCCCTCAATTCCATATGAATTTTAGAATTAGCTTGTCAATGTCTACAAAGAAATCAGCTTAGATTCTGATAGAATTGTGTTAAATCTGTAAATCAATCTGGGGAGTATTGCCATCTTAAAGTAAGTTTACTGATCCATAAACAGCAGATGGTTTTCTATTTATTTAAATATTCTTTAATTTCTTTTGACAGAGTTTTGAATTTAATCCTGTACTTCTTCTGTTTCTGATTTTTTTTTTTATGGTACTGTGAGTGGAATTATTTTCTTAATTTCATTTTTGGATTATTCATTACAAAGTGTATAAGAATGCAACTGATGTGTACCCTGCAAACTTGTTCATTAGTTCCAATAATTTTTAGTGGATTCCTTTCTATACACAAGATCATGTTATCTGCAATTAGAGGTAGTTTTACATCTTCCTTTCCAATCAGAATGCCTTTTATTTATTTTATTTTTTGAAATTGTTTTGACTAATTGCCCTTGCTAGAATCTCTAGTACAAGTTGAATAGAAGCAGTGAGAGTAGAATCCTTGTCTTGGTCTTGA